TCTTCCGATTGTATTAGGTTACAAAGTGAATTCTGTTGATGTTCTACTAGATAAAAACGGAAATATTTTACTAGCTATACCTACATCAAATACATTTGATCTAGAACTAAGTTTTTTTTTTTTTTTTCAGTAGTGGTACATGATAGGACAAAATTTGCAAGTACATCTTTACGTGTGTGATGTATATTTTAAACTAGCTACTTAAAATTAACAGGAGATATTGGAGATGTCTGAATAACTTTCCTTTTTACAGAAGCTGTGTATTTTGTCATTTTGTGTTGATTAATAGACTATGGTAGAGGGCTGTGAAAGAGTTGGAATAATATTTAAAATTTGACCTAAATCTTGCTTTTGTCATTTTTGTGACCATTATTTTCCTTCCTCATTAGAACTATGCAGCACTGATATGGCAACAAATTAATGAAGACAGACAAAACTCAAGAGAAAAGACTGTGTTTGGAATTCAGCTCACAGAAGAGAAACTTAATGACTTCCGTGATGAACAAATTGGACAGCTGAAGGAACTGATGAATGAGGCTACTAAACCCAATAAGCAGTTCACCATGTCTAAGGACTCGGAATACAAGAACTAAAAGGTTTTCAAATTTCTTTTAAATCAAAGAGAAGTATATTGAAACTTCCTTTTTCAATTGGACTAGAATGCATTTTCTGTGGAATAATGGGAGATGCTGATGCCGTAACTTTTTGTCTGAAACTGTCTCTGCAAGGATAAATGTTAAAATGTAATAATGATAACACTTATGTTAATTGCAATATATATTTCCTCTTGAACGTGGAGACTTGAAGAATTTGGTAAAAGTAAGTTGACGTTTTAAAAATAGAAAGGTTTTATTTTTAATCTTGGCACCTGTGGGTGCTCATCTGGCTATCATCCTCTGTCTTAATGGAAAAGATGCAACCAGCATTTGTTTTCTGATGTGGATTCAGTAGACAGAACAAAAGTATGGTACGTTCACTGCAGTGGAAAGAAATAAGCAGTATTAGAATATGCTATTGTTGAAACTGAAAGCTGGTTTTCTTCTTGAGCTTTATTGTGAAACGGGCTTTAAAATAAAAGCTGTAGTTCATTATTAAATTCATTGTGAAGGAATCACTGGTTTATGAAGTAAACTCAGCATTTTTTTCAAAGCTAGACTCAGATTCCTCGAAATCATGTCATTATTGCAGATAATTCATATCTAATCTTTTTTAAAAATCCATACATTAGCTCATTGTGTTATAGAATACAAATGATCTTTAAAAGCTTCATATCCCTGATTATTCATTGTTTTATACAGACCAGAATTTATTATCTCTTTAATCACAGAAATTACCCCCGTTCATAATACTGTATAACAAATATCGGTAATTTGTAGGTAATGTACTAGGTAAGCTTTCATCAGGACAATGTGTGCCTATTGTAATACTCAGATTGCTGTGTCTAAAAAAATTCCTACTTTTTTATCTGCTAAGAAAAAACACCCCCCTTTCTCTTTAAAAGACAGCTTTCATTTCATATTTTAAACCCAGTTTTATATTATTAGTTTTGTTCTATTTCTGGACCTCTCACTGTCTGTTACCTATAGAGTGTTCAAGACAACATAATTTCTTTCCTCTTTGGGGATAACAGCTTTGACAAGCAAGTACATTTCCACGTGTCTCGGGCTGTAACAACATGCTGTTTTCCAAAGCTATGTTCTTGGATCCTAATTGAGGGCAATTTGGGGAGCAGTCTGCTTCTCTCTCTCCCTTACCTTGCCTCCTCTGTTCTGAAGCCTTTCCTATGATTTTAGGTTGCAGGCTGCTCACGTCTATTAAAAGTTCACTTGTCAGTCTCCTGTATAAGGAACGCTTATGTTTGCTCTGCTGCATCTTTCTTCAGCAGCACCTGCCTCTGCTGTTTGCTTTGTAGTAACATCCTTTAGCCTCAAGGATGAACTGCAGAGTGCCTAGCCCATATAGGTATAGAAAAGCAGAGATTATGTCTGCACAGCAGGGTTGATGCTCGTGAGGCTTCAAGGATGTGGTTGGAGAGAACTTCAGCTCCTTTCTGGCCTGCTATATGCCTGCATCTAGCCCCAACATCAGGGTGAGAAGCAGATGCGATGTGCGTGCAGGAACCTTGAAAAGCCTCTCTCCTACTGCCATTCACATTTAACTAGAGATTTTCTTGTTATAGTTCAAAGAATGTAAAAAGCTAATCAGGTTCCACTTCAAAGTTTAGGGCGTAAGGATCTATTGTATTGCACTTCTATGAGCTTTAGAGGAACTGATAATGTTCCTCACTAGATCTACTCACAGTTTTAATATAAAAAAACAATGTTAGGGTGTTAAACAATTTGTTTCCAACCCTTCACTGCTAAAACATATGCATCTACTTTCAAGTCAGTTTTCAATTGGTTTCAGATTTCTTTCAAGTATTAGAATATAAAAGGCAGTTATTTCTATCAAAACTGTAAAACTAGCTAGAGCACTTACTTATATCTCATGTATATACCTAGGTAATGCACACTTCTACAGGTTAACTTACAATGAAAATTTGCTATTTGATATGATAAATTAAGCTTCTAATGAGACCTAAAGTGAGTTGGAGATGAAGGTTAACATCTATACATTCACAACCCCCTTTTAAATAAATCCAACATCTTCTTTTCTTTATTCCCATGGTAGCCAGTATTTTGTAGAGTATTAGTATTCCAGTTGTTTAAAAACAAATCTTACAGATGCCACAATTCCACAGTAGGGAACGAAATGTCTTTAAAGGTTGCTGGTTTTAAAACAGCTAGTAACAATACCAAGTCATGCTCTGATCTTAACAGCACTTTAGCAGTTACTTCTCATATGTGGATGGTCCCACTGGCTCTTTGCAAAGCCAGCTAACTGAAAATGGACATCACTAAATATTAGTGAAATTCTTCAATTTGTAAGTGCAGTTAATGAAAGAAAGTCAATGGGCATCTAATATCGTCCACAGAAAGGTGGAGGAGTGACAAAATATTTGCAAAATCTTATCTGTGCTAACACTTTCTGTGATTGCCTGCCACCTGGTAGGATTTTAGAGGGAACTGGAAATTAACAGAAGCTTTAGGTAGCTGAAAAAATATATGACCAGAAGTCTTATCAACAAGCAAACAATTTTCAGAAATCTGTCTAATTGAAAATTACCACAATTTTGACATGCAAAATACAGGTATGCACCTTTAAAAAGAACAATTGAACGTGTCAGCAGTCCAGTGTTTTATTACTTCAGTGATGTGAGTTTATGCTTTTGTAACTGATTGACCAGCTAGAGTTATCACAATGTGATCTTCCTCACTTACAAATAAAGGAAGAACTTTACATATTGGAGGTACAATTTATGAAGGAATTATTTTTCTCCACTATTTGGAGTTACTTTAATCTTTAAAAATTATTAGTGGGCTTTTTTTTTCTTGTTTTTTCATTTTGGATATGTATTTATGAGAGACTGGTTAATTCTGATGATTCAGGCCAAATTTTCATAGGCTTCTAGGGAGTGATACTGATGAATTAGTGGAGGAACAATATCATACCTTGCCTTATCTACTGGAAGTGATTTTAATTTTTACTTTCTATAGCCAAAGTAATAGCAAAGGACCTCACAGGCACTATATTACCTGCAAGACACATCTTAAGGACTACTGTTTTCATCCCTGTGGGCAACCTCGTTCCTCATTTTTAGTTTATATTTCCAACACGTGCCTTAATGGAGTATATTCCCATCGATAGCCTCAATTTCAGGCTTACAGAAATATATGAAATGGGCTTCACAGTTTCTCATGAAACTGGCCTTCC